ACAGCAGATTGACATAATGCAATTAGCCTTTTGACTTCCTGATTGCTGGTTTCAAAAGTGTTGACTGTGGAGCTGAGAAAGTTGTAACTGTTAACAACCTCAATCTCTTCTCCATCTATCATGGTGCTGCTGATTGGCCCAAGGTTGAGAAATTTTGTCTTCTTGATGCTGAGCTTCAATCTATATTGAAGACTACATCCTTGACCTTCTGCAGCAAGTGCTTCAGGTCCTCCTCAGTTTAAGCAAGCAAGGTTGTTCATCTGCGTAACGTAGGTTGTGATGAATCTTTTTCCAATCCTGATGCCACATTCCTCCTCATAAATTCCAGCCTCCCAAATGATCAGTTCTGCTAATAGATTGAAAAGTTATGGAGATAGGATGCATAGGATGTATCACTGACACACTCCCTTCCTGATTTTGAAACATGCAGTGTTTCCCTGCTCTGTTCTGAGGACTGATTTCTGATCCAAATATAGGTTTTGCATAAGCACAATCAAGTATTCTGGGATTCCCATTCTCCTCAAGGTTCACAGTCAAATGCCTTTGCATAGTCACATATCCCTATGGTACTCTTTGCTTTCTGCCAAGATCCATTTGACATTGGCAATAATGTCTTTAGTGCCATGACCTCTTCTAAACCCAGCTTGTATTTCTGGTAGTTCTCTTTCAATGTACTGTTCCAGTGGTTTCTGGATAATCTTCAGCAAGATTTTGCTTGTGGGTAATATGAGTGACATTGTATAATAATTTCTATACTCTGTCAGGTCACCTTTATTTGGAATGAGAATAAATATAGATCTCTTCCAGTTAGTTGGCCAGGTCACTTTTAGATAGATAGATAGATAGATAGATAGATAGATAGATAGATAGATAGATAGATAGATAGATAGATACACACACACATGTATTGTTGTTACATGCCGTCGACTGATGGCAAACCTAGGTCCAATAGCCCTACACCCTGCTCTATCCTGTGCCAATCTTACTGTCTCTGATACACCTACCCCCATTACCGAAGTCACTGAATCAATCCATCTCATTGAGGTTCTTCCACTTCTGTGCCATTGTCCCATCCTCCCAAGCATGGCATCACATTCCAAGGACTGATCCTGCCTTGCTACATATCCAAAGTAGGTCAGATGAAGCTTCAGAATCCTTACCTCCAAGGAGCAGCCTGGTTTTCTTAGCAGACCATTGTATATTTAATACTCCAACACTACAGCTCAAAGGCATCAATTCTCCTTCTATCATCTTTCATCACTGTCCAGCTTTCCAGTGCATAGCAAGTGATTGCAAAGACCATGGCCCGTATCAGGTGCACTTTAGTCTCCAGAGTGACATTGTTGCTCTTTAGTACTTTGGAGAGGTCTCTGACAGCAGACTTTGCCAATGCAATTTGTTTTTTATTAATTTTCTGGCTGCCGTTACTAAGAGTGTTGATTGTAGAACCAAGCAAACTGAAACATAACACTCTCAATCTCCTTACCACCTGTCATCATGCTGCCAGTCATCTCAGTGGTGAGAATCTTTGTTTTCTTGATCCTAAGCTTCAATCCATACTGAAGGGTACTCTCCTTGACCTTCTGCAGATCCTCCTCAGTTTCAGAAAGCAAGTGGTGTCATCTGTGTAGTGCAGATTGTTGATGATTCTACCTCAAGTCCTAATGCCACATTTCTCCTCATAGAGCCCAGCCTCTGGATAATCTGTTCCACATATAGATTGAAAAGATATGGAGATAGAACACAACCTTGGCATACTCCCTTCCCAATTTTGAACCATGCAGTGTTTCCTTGCTCTGTTATGACAGCTGCCTCCTGGTCCAAGTATGTTTCACATAAGCACAATCAAGTGTTCTGGTATTCCCATTCTTCTCAGAGTCAGTCACAGTTTGTTGTGATCTACGCAGTCAATTGCCTTTGCATAGTCATTCCTCTGGTAGTCTCTGCTTTCAGCCAAGCTTCATCTAACATTAGCTATATGTAGTATCACAGCCTCTTCCAAACCTAGCCTGAAATTTAGGCAGTTCTCTGTTAATGTGGTATTACAGTTGTTTTTAGATAAACTTCAGCATAATCTTGTTTGCATATGGTATCATGATGTTGTTGTTATGTGCCATCAAGTTGTTTGCGACTCATAGCGACCCTATGTACAAGAGCCCTAAACGCTGTTCTTTCCTGTGCCAACCTGGCCATCTCAAACACACTCATTTCCCCCACTCCAGTCACAGAATCGATCCATCTCATCAAAGATCTTCCTTTCCTGCTCCGTCCCTCCACTCTCCCAGACATGATGTCCCTCTACAACAACCAGTCTTTCCTTGCAACATGCCCAAAGTATGTCAGATGAAGCTTCAGAATTCTTGACTCCAAGGAGCATTCCAGCTTGACCTTCTCCAGGACAAACCTGTTTGTTCTCCTAGAAGTTCATGGTATATTCAACACTCTTCTCCAGAACCACAGCTCAAAGGCATCAATTCTCTTTCTATCATCCCTATTCACTGTCCAACTCTCCAATGCATAGCACGTAATTGAGAAGACCATAGCCCGGATCAGGCACACCTTTGTCTCCAGTCTGACGTCATTGCTCTTCAGTACTCTTGAGAGGTCCCTCACAGCTGACTTTCCCAGTGCAATTAATCTCTTGATTTCCTGGGTGCTATTACCAAGAGTGTTGACTGTGGAGCCAAGTGAACTAAAACTGTTAACTATCTCAATCTCTTGACCATCCGTATTGATGCTGCCAATTGGTACAGTGGTGAGAATCTTTGTTTTCTTGATGTTGAGCTTCAATCCACTTTGAATGCTGCAATCCTTGACCTTCTGCAGCAAGAACTACAGGTCCTCCTTAGTTTCAGCAAGCAGATTGTGTCATCTTTATAACACAGGTTGTTGATGACTCTTCCACCAATCCTGATGCCACATTCCTCCTTGTACAGCCCAGTGTCTTGGATGATCTGTTCTGCATAGGATTGAAAAGGTATGAAGACAGAATACCTCCCTGATTTTGAACCATGTAGTGTCTCCTTGCTCTGTTCTGGCGACTGCCTCTTGGTCTAAGTATATGTTTCGCATTAGCACAATCAAATGTTCTGGGATTCCCAATCTTCTCAGAGTCAGCCACAGCTTGTTGTGAAGCAGACCATGATTTGTCATTATGAAAGTTTATTTTGAAGATGATTAAAACAAGTCCATGAGAGCCAAAATACGAATTTGTGTTTGTCTCACCTGAATTTTAAACCTTCTCAAGAATAGATTTGTTCCATTGAGCACTAATGTTCAAAGACCTCAGGAGTCATAAGACAGCATCAAGAAAGAAAGCAAAAGGTCATTATAAAGACATAAGAGGCTGAAATGAGTGTCGGAAAATAATCTGAAGCTTACTGTTTAATGTAGAGAAGCTAAACGAAAAGGAAGAAATTATGAAAATAAGCGAGCTCATGAGAAAATGTCAAAGGGCAGTTTGGGAAGACTAATCCAAGGTATTATAACAAAACACGCAAAATCAGAGTTAAAATACGAAAAGGGAAGATCATACTCAGCATTTCTCAATCTGAAAGAACTGAAGAAAATATTTAAACCTCAAGTTACAATATTGAAGTTTTCTGTGAGCAAAATATTGAATGATATAGGAAAATCACTGCAACAAAAAGAATTTATCAATCCAGAACTATTCCAGGAAGTAGCATATGATCAGAAAGTCCAAGATGCCCTAAAGGCCTTGACCAAAAAAAAGGGTCCAGTTGTCATACAAATTGAGGTGTTCTGGCAAATAGATGCAGTCCTGATTGTGCTCACTCATCTACGCTAAGAAATTTAGAAGATGGCTACCGGGTCAACTGCCCAGAAGAGATCCATATATCTGCCCATTCCAAAATAAGTGATAGAACAGAATGTCAAATTAACAAGTAATAGCATTAATATCACATGCAAGTAAAATCCTGATGAGGATCTATCAAAATGCAGTAGTACTATATTGACAGGGAAGTGCCAGAAATTCAAGCTGTATCTAGAAGATTCATAATCCTTGACAAAGTATATCATTGCTAATGTCCAATGAATCTTCACTGAAAGTAGTGAATGCAATAAAGATGTTCACTTGTGTTTTATTGATTATACAAAAGCATTTGGTTGTGTAAATCATAATAAATAAATTATGTATAACATGGAGAAGAATTGGGATTACAGAGCACTTTATTGTGCTCACATAGATCTTGTGCATAGACCAAGAAGCACTTGTTTGAACAGAACAAGGGATACTGCATGGTTTAAAATCAGGAAGGTATGCATCAAGGTTGTTTCCTTTATCCATTTCTATTCAATCTGGATGTTGAGCAAATCCTTAGAGAAGCTGGATTATATGAAGAGTAGAGAGGATGATTGGATGCACCAAAAATAGAGGAAGACTCTTCAACTATTTTCCTCATGCAGAAACAGACCTTTGCTTGTGGAAAGTAAAGAGGACTTGAAACACTGAAGAAGATAAAAAACTACAGCCTTCAGTATGGATTGATTACACCTTCACATCAAGAAAACAAAAATCTTCATAACTGGATCGATAGGCAGCATCATGACAGATAGAGAAAAGAATGAAGTTGTTAATTATTTCATTTCACTTGGACCCACAGTCCATACATATGGCAGAAATCAAGTCATATTCCTTTCAGAAAATCTACTGTCAAGGATCTTGTTAAAGTCCTAAAGAGCAAGGATGCCATGAAAGACTAAGGTGTGCTCAACCCAAGCTGTGCTATTTTCAATTGCTTCATATGTATATGAAAATTAATAAGGAATACTGAAGTAGTATTCATGCCTTTGAATTGTGGTGTTGTCAAAAAGTATTGAATGTTCCATGGCTTGCCAAAAGAGAAAGAAATCTCTCTTGGAGGAAGTGAAGTCAGAGTGCTCCTTAGAGACAAGGTTGGTGAAATTTGCTCTTAGATAACTTGAGAGTGTTTTCGGGAGGAGTTGTTCCTTGGGGTGGGTGGTAATTATGTTTGGCAATGTGCATGGTAAGCTAAGACAAGGTGAACCTCATAGAGATGAACTGACATGGTGATTGCAGCAGTAGATTTAGGCACAGCAGATGTTGAGGACAGTGAAGGACTAGGCAAGGCTTTGATTTGTTGTACATAGGACCTCTAGGAGTGAGGTCTACTCAAGGACACCCTCAAGAAAGCTGCAAGTATTTCTAAACTGAATGTGTCCTGTTATGTCTCAAGCTCACTTATGTAAATTTTCAGTAAGCTATTGTTAAATTGAAATCCATCACCAGTTTTAAATATCCACAAAGGAGAAATTGACTAGCCATTACACTTCAGAGGAGTGTGGTACCATTATATAAAATAGGGGCAAATATTATAAAAAGAAATTATGTTTTCACATTTCCCCCAATAGCAACTAGACTACAAGAAGAACACATTTTATGTCAGTAGGAAGAATATGCAAAATGTAATTGAAATAACTTTTCTCTTTTCTTTTTTTTTTAATTATAGAGAGATGCAGAATCTCAGGAACATGAGAAGATCCTTTCTCCAGATTTTCTTTCAGTCGACCAAATCAGTGATTTGCTAACAGCAGACCTAAATGGAATTCAAAAGTAAGTGCTCACAACCAAGAAAAATTAGATAACAGATATGTAATGATTTGGGTTAAGGGAAATGCTATATAAAAGGAGAGGTGGTTAACATAAGAGAAAAGAAAAGATACACACAGAAAGTGATGTGTTATAGACAAAAATAGACCAGTTCACACACAATCTACATTATCAGTAATAACAAACAATAAGCTGCAGATAGACACTTAGGCAGACTAACAAAGGAAACGAAGAAGGACAATAGTACAAGAAAATAGAGAAAAGTTTGAGTTTTGCATCTGTAAACACATAAAATTCTCAGATAAATGGCTGTTCTGCTACCTTTTTTCATAGAAGAAATACATTTTCAAACTAACTTATTAATATTAACTAAGAGTAGAGATTTCTTGTTAAGATCAGCCTCTAGCATATGCCATCTTCTCCCTATTCTCATTCATAAAACTAGTTGACTGCCAGAATGCACCAGAACCTGCAGGGCCCTATGCCTCATCATGGTGAGAGTAACTTGTTTTTCTTATGCTATTAACAGTCTATGCATTTTGTTATTGTAGAAATTTCTATTAGTCACCCACCTGTGATTTATTGGAAATGAAGACATACTGAGAATACGGGTTTCCTAGAAATTTCTTTAAAATGTGAACATAACTGAATTGACAGGCAATACTTGCTATATAGGAGCTGTGGGAGCACTGGTCGTGCAGTCCAGAGGGAGTTTCCCTGTCAACTCAAAGGTTTCACCTCTTTGGTGCTTCAACAGTACCAGTGTTTTGGAGTGCGAAAGATAGGTACTCTTCCCTCAGTGGGGTTTACGGCCCTGGATATCAAATGGAGAGTCAGCTATGACTTGTTCCAACTCCAGGGCAATCAGCCAGTGACTGGATAGTTAAGCAGTCCGCTTCTGCCCCAAAGGTTGGCAGTGCAACTGCACTGAGGATCCAAGGGAGAAAAGTGTGGCAGTCGCTCCAGAAAGAGTGCAATCTTGGAAGCCTTATGGTCTGCCTTATAGAGATGGTAGATATGTGTATAGAAGAAACACAGGTAAGTACACACTCCTGTTCACTCTAACACTGCTCTCAGATTGAGATCGACTCATAACTGTCCTTCCGGAAGGTTTCCATGGCCATAAATTGCATGGGAAGGGATTGCACATCTTTCTCCGTCTGAGGCATTGGTGGATTCTAACTGCCAGAGAAGCAAGCATAGCCTTTGTTTTAGGAACACAACTTTCTATGTTCCTACATCATCTCTCTCTCTCTGTGTGTCTGTGTGTGTGTGTGTGTGTGTGTGTGTGTGTATGTTTTGTGTACCGTTGAGTCAGAGCTGACCCGCCAGTGAGTTTTCAGAGGCAGTTAATCTCATGGGAGGAGATTGCCCATCCTTCTCCCACTGAGCAGCTAGTGGATTCAGTGGATGCTGCCTTTGGGATTGCAGCACAGATTCTTACCACTAGGCCTTGAGAGCTCCACATATATATACACATTATATGTATATATTCATCTCACTTTCAAGGCCAATTTTTCTACAGGAGATAATTTATTGAGAAGTCTGCTCGGATATATTCAACCACACAAGCTCCTTAAATGTGTTCATAGTGACCATTCATTTTAAAAATTCTATCACTCTAATAGTGAAGGCTAATTGGCCTTATTTAGGGGCAAATAAGGCTGATGCAGTGTGCTGGTCAGAATGTCCTGTTGTAAGGTCCTTGCAGGCCAGTCCTCGTGACACCAGCAGGATGTCATGAACTGTAATGGACAAACAGAAAATGACTCTGTCAGTGGTTATCTTTCTGAAACCCTTACAAATGTTAGGAAATAAAGACAATTCACTGTTGAGAAGGAAATATGACAGATGTACAGGCTGGAAGGAAACTCTGAGAAGGCCTATCAAGAGCAGCGCATGGCCCTGCAATCTCTGCTGGAAAGCCTGATGATCAGAATCTAGCTGTAAACTGCTTAATAGCTTCAGCCCTACAATGGCGATTCAACAAAATTTTTTTTTTAAAAAACCCTCATCTTTTAAACAGCTATTTTATGATTTTTTTGCCATTTTTATTGAAATGAATGTGCACAGGGAATTCCAATTTTTAATCTGAGAATTTATAATTAAAATGCATTTGCTGTATTAAAACCATTGATCATGCTGTCATATAGATTATTTCCCATTTTCAGGTAACTCCAGATGTTTGGCCATTGAAATGCACAATGATAGGTACCAAAAAAAGGCAAAATAACAAGTATTTAATCAAATTTTGTCATATAATTCTACTAAATAAAAGGTATTGCAAACAGATGCTTTTAAATATATTTCTTATGCACTTTTTAAATCATACTATGCTTCACACTGGAAAGCTCTGGGGGCCACGAGGTAAGGATCTGCACTATAATCCTGAAGGCACATCATTCGATTCCACCAGCTGCTCTGGGGGGAAGAGTGGGCAGTCTCCTCCTGTGCTATTACTGCCTCTGAAAACCAGCTGGAGGCTCAGCTGTGGGTCAGTTCTGACTCAGTGGTACACAACAGCAGCCCAAACGTTCTTTATACCTAGAAGAAAATATTTTTTCTTTTGTTGTTAAGATCTAAATTCTAGAAATATTTTATTATTAAGAGGTAATGTTTGGGCCAAATTTAGTGATAAACAGAATTACATGCTGAAAATTAGCCGTATAGAATTAGGTAAGTTCATAACAGATTTACCGATTAGACAGTTTCATTATTATAGAAATCACTTGAATAATCACAAATTTTAGGACACATGTTATGTTTTGCACTATTGAGAATGGACACATACTTGATTTTCCAGTGGGTTTTCATGGGCAGTAAAGCATATGGGAGGAGATTGTCTCTCTTTATTCTATAGGACAACTGGTGGATTCAAACTGCCCACTTTTGGGTTGACAGTATAACTCCCAAGCACTAAGCCACCAGAACTCCCTTTAGGACACTCATTTGGATTAAAGATATCAATGCTATGTAAAGTGCCATGTCTTTGCAAAAAAAACTTCTGAAGTATTTAATGTGATTTTTATATCAGTAAATCTGAAATATTTGCAATCACTGACTTTCACTTTAAAATAGTATTATGGTAAATGGAGATTATATACTTTTAAAAATGACAGAAATATAATTTAGGTATCCTGTCACGAAGTGACAGAAGTATGCCAAAATCATAGTTGTCTAAAAATCTAGAGACTTATTTAAATAAATTATAAGAAATCAGCACATTTCCCTACCACTTGAAATTAAAAATGGCTCTCCTTGAAAGCAGCCAGTGAATGACTCATTAAAGTATCAGTAAAACATATTTCTGGAGTGCACTTGAAGCAAAGTTAAATGTCTAGATACATTTCTCACAATCTCCTAGCTTCTATCAATCATTCATGTTTTAATGTAACCCGACTTTTATTTACAGCTCCACCTCAAATCCTCTTTTAAAAAGAGGATATGGACTAAATTGGAAGTAACTGTGTAAACATAGAAATAGCACTGAGAGATCTTTTTTATAACCTTTCTATATCTGGGCTTTCATAAACTGTTCAGTTCTTGCCTTAAGGCTGACTCCTGCATGTCATCATGCTAAGAAATCAAATACACTGCATTTTCAAAAGCATGCAATAATGTAATAATACTTTCACTGAAATTCTTGGTGAGATAAAGTAGTTCCATCACCTTTTGCTACAAGGAAACTTCCTAAAACACTATTCGGCATCTCTGTACTCTCTCAGGCTTTAGCTGTGGCCATCTCTTCTCCTCTTCTGCCCTATCTCCCCTCATCTCCAGAGAAAAGAGGTGTACAGATATGCTAGTAATATGTATGGAAATATTTCAGTCAAGCTATAACAGTGTATTGCTCCAAATTTGTCTTGCTTAATCGCTTTTTAATAAAATGACTGAGCAAAGAATAGAAATGATAAATATTCATCCCTGTAGTTGAAGTTGAAGGAGAAGATTCAAATCGCACCAGGTAAAGTAGTGAAAAGGGAAGTGGGAGAGAGCAAAAGCGGGGCAGGTCACAGAGATTTCACCAAAATAGTGTTGGGCAAGTAGTCACCTTCATTCAAATATTATTAAGCATCAAAAAGGAAAAAGGAAAAGAAAAAAAAAACATGCAAATATTTTATCAAATTATTAATTTAAAAGACATAGCTTAAAGAAAGTACATGAATAGTATACTTAAAAGAAAAAATAATTGCTGGGAACAGAAAAAAATCTCATAATAGTTGATGATTAAAGAGAATCTCAGCTCTGGATAAGCACTGATTTAAAGAATTAAATATGAAAATAAGAGTCTTTTATAATTAAGGTACAAACTAAGGGTAAAATAATAAAACTAATATAGAATTCATCTTGCTGAAAATTGAATCATTAGGAGGGGGGAAATTAAGTGTTATATGAAATACATTAAACAATTAGAAGATGGTAGAATACACATTTGTAGTCTCTAGATGGGATAGTTTGTGCTTGACTACTCATGCATGGCCTGGTGGTTAGGGAATTGGCCTGCCAACCCCAACACAGGAGGTTTGAGTTCACCAGCTGCTCTGAGACAAAAAAGATGGGCCATGTCCTCCCATGTGATTACTGTCTCTGAAAACTGCCTGAAGGTCAGTTATGAGTTTGAGGAGCATTTTGAGACTAACAGAAATGGGAGTTTTGGGGACATCGTATACACTGAATTATGCTTCCTCCAAAACTCAGTGGAGCATCAGCGAGGGGTCTGTTCCGACTCATAAGCAATGAGTTTGAATTTCTGACTAACATAAAGGTTGGCAAATCAAAACTGTTCAATAGCATCATGGGTGGAAGACCTGGCAGTTTCCCTTCAAAAGAAATTATGCTCAAGAAAACCCTGTGGAGTAGTTCTATTCTGTAACAGTATCACCATGAATCAGGATGGCTTGATGGCAAAGGCTTGGATTATAGATTGAACACAGTGAATTGGAATACATAACTGAAGCCTCATAAAGTAATTTTTTTCCCTTTAAAGTTTTAACAAAATGTTT